TAGCTTCCTGATTCAACAAGTTCATTGTGTGAGCTGAAATTGTGCTTTTGCAAGTGAATAGGTCCTTATAGAAGTATTCCACAGTATTTATACTGCATTTATTTGTAACCCAGCATTTAGGCACATGAATAACTTTTGCTGCCTACTTAGACTTGGTCTGCACTAATATGCAATCGTAGAATGACAAAATTTGGGGTTCTGTCTGACATTAAAATACTCCTGAAATTTTCTTTTATGTGAAAACAGTATATATGTTACAACTGGAATGATAAGTGTAATTTATTGTAATTCACACTTTATGTGTAGGTAAAACTCTAAGCAAATATTTTCATTCTTGGAACCTTTACTTTTCTCAGTTTCCTATCAAAAATGCTCACATTTTTCCTTTAAACCAATCCGTGAATTTTCTATAGTAGACATCTATCTAGACAAATAAATTATAATTCCTTTTACTTTGTTCACTTCCCAAAATACTATTTTTATCCACTAAATATTTTAACAGTTACTCACTCTGCATTCTTTATGCCTTAACCTCTAGAAAATATATAATACAGTTCATTTCTTTTGTAAATTGTAAATTCTTAACTTTTTATTGGTAACTACTTTTTTCCAGGGAAAGTCAATATTATTTGATTGAAATAAGACCTTCTCTGAGGAAAATAGCAATAAAAAATTTGACCCCCTGTTAATTGATTGACTTACTATCTACTTATCATTTCTGAATTTTAATATTCATAAATTATGTCACAAATCATTTTCTCTAATTTTCTAATGTATAGTTACTTAGTGTCCATGCTCAGACATCCTTTAATTATATGATGTTAACATATAAGGCATATATTAAGATCTTCTAAAATCAACAAGTCATATTCAGCAAATTACAAAATATTAATATGGCTGCAGATTATCTTACTTGAACAGAGTAAATTAATGTCAAATCAGGATTCAGTTATTTTTATTATGTGTGTGTGTGCATGCGTATAATTCTTCTGTGTGTAGATTAGTGTATTTTTATTCTTGAAAAAAATAAATGGATGTGTCTTAAAAGGGGTAAAAAATGACCTGCATTTTCTATCCCGTACTATATTTGATTGAGCAATTTGTGTAACGGTATAATGGTTTTAAAAATGTACAGAATTCTAGCCACTTCTAAAATGACGTAAACGATTGGTACTGGTGTTTCTAATCTCATGTTTCCTTATGAAAATGTAGTTCCGTCTTCACTATGAATGTCTAAATAAAAGACCAAAAGTGAATGAATCGAATCAAATCTCTTAAACACTTGCTAAATGATGCCAAATGTTGCTACTCAGTTATAGGAGTGAAAACCAAAGATGAGTGTTTTGACTTAGAAAAGGCAACTCAAAGTCCTTTTCTATTATCTACTTTGACAAGAGTTTCAGTCAGGCAGCTAAAATAAATAATCTTGAGATGGAAGTGTTGGGGAAATCTCTCCATTATACTCATAGGAAATAAAATATTCTCTCTGCACTACAACATGCATATATATGCATATATACTTAAATTTAGAGACAAGGACGCTCCACCTCAAAGTTCTATCACCCATTAAGTGGCAATAATAATAGATAACTTCAAAAATTATCATGATCTTTTATTACTGATCCAATAAGATTTGCTTAGTGAGCCCTCCTGACCTTTCACCCTTTTTCTGAAGGTCTCAAATTAGTTGAAAATGAAGAGAGTTCATAAGGAGACATGGAGAACATAACATGACTCTCCGGTCAGGCTCACACTGCTCTCAGAGAAGCAGGAAAGGGGAGTAATAATTCATTTTGTTAGCAAGGAAATATATTGAAGGAAGAAGCTGTAAGTCATGGTCTTAGAAATATATCTTTCAGGGGCACCTGACTGGCTCAGTTGGTAGAACACATGACTCTTGAACTTGGGGTCTGATAAAGTCCAGCCCTGAGGGTAGAGTTTACTTAAAAGAAGTTAAAACAATTTTATTTTTCAGAAAATAATTGTTGTCTGTCTATAATGAAGACAGAGAAGAATTTTTTTAGGTGAAGTAATATAATCTTTTAGCTTTATATTAACCAGATGGCCCTGTGAAAAAATGGACTTTTCTAGATACCCTAAAATGTTATATGCTTATAATGCTATGAAAAACTTCATTTATTCACCTTCTAAGTACTAGAATTCTAACAACAAAGTAGGCAGAGTTTTTCCCTTCAAGGATTAATTCTCAAGTGTGGAAACTGACATCAATAAAATCAGAGCAGACAGAAAGCTTAGAAAGAAGAGAGAAGTATCATACTTTTTTTTTCTAAATCTCTCTAAGATTTTCCAACTAATCATATGTTGTTGAATTTCAATTGATTCTGATTACTCTTCTGTTGTTGAATATTTATATTACTTCAACTTTTGCTCCTTTACAATAGAATATATAATTGGACAAACAAGAATGTTCCATAAGAAAGATAAAGGAAGATGTTTAAAATGTTTCAGAACACATAGGATGAGATAAAGTTAGTAGTGATTAAAAACATGTAACAGTGATTGAGAGAGATTTTTTGTTTGGCAGATACTTTTCTTGATGCAAGTATCATTTAGCCTCGGTGCTTTCCATTGAATCACTTCCAGCAGATTTGTTTTTAGGTACATATGAAGTCAAGAGGGAAGGATGAGAGGATGATGAGCCAATAAAAAGGAGTCAGCACGAGTCAATAATGCTTTGTAGTGTTATCTCATCTGTCTGGATACTTCAAAAGATTCTATGGTGGTTCTCTTAAAGTAGATTAACAATTATTAAAATAATTGTTTTGTTAATCTTTTAAATGTTAGCCAAAGAAAAATGCTACATTCCATGCATTTTCACAATTATAGGAAATAAAAATATTGGTTTATACACAAATGTTCATAGTACCTGAAAATATATAGACTCTTTTTGGAAACAATTCAAGCTGATTTTTGTTGATATGGAATAAAGGAAAAAAAAGTTCAAATAATGGTTTTTTTGGCTAAACTAAAAAAATGGACAAAGAAAAAATACTAATACCTATTATTTGCATTACACTTCTTAGGAATTGAATGATATTAGCTGATTTTGAAAGGCTGCTTTTCAGATCTAATCAAATCTTATTTTAATTCATTGTCTGGTAGCTAATAACCTAATGTTTATCATCTGTACTAGATTTGGTAGTAACAGGTTCTTTACATGGAGTTTTATAGGACAAATATAATTATATGTATTATATGTACTTGATAACTTTTTAAGGTATTTCCTTTTGCATAAATTAAATGCATATATTTTGAGATCCTAATGAGCAAAGAATTTTACTAGCAGATGAAGAATGTTATTATTTTCTGCTTTAGATATGCCTGAAAATTAAATTCCTCATGTTCTTTTAATTTAGAAAATATCTTTCATTGACCTCCAGCCTGCCTAAACCATTTAGGAAAGCTTACCATGAAAATAAGAAGGTATTATAAAAATTAGTAAATAAGAGGTATATGTGCACGTATACATAATATTTATTTGGATTATAATGTTGTTAAAGTCAGTTCAATTTTATGATCATGGTAATTGCACACCAGGCAATACCCATTTTCTCCAGTGATTAATGTGACACCATTGAGTTTTTAGAAGATTGTTTTCTTAATTTGTCTAGGAAGCATTTTCCCTGTTGAAAAACAGGTGTAAACATCAATACCCAAGATAAGAGAGTGAGCTCCTACTGTCTTCTGATGTCTCCAGTGCAGAGAATCCATCAGGTTAAAGTCTGAGGATTGAGTAAGGCTAATTTATCAGAAGTAAAAAACTAGAAAATTTTTGGTGTGACTCAAAGAGTTTAACTGAGAGAATGACAGGAAGCCTTTAACAGCAAAATAATCTGTCAAACACTTTGAATATTTAGGGACTGTGTGGCAAACATGTGAAATCAAACCCCAGCACAGTAATTACAGGTAATTTGTGAACTGTTTCTCATTTCCTCACTGTGTAAATTATATGCCTATCCTCTTGAGACAAGATTTGACTTTTTGAGAATCTTACTGAGATTCTGTAGCTTGATACTGGCCCTACTGTTTCAGTGCTTCCTATGCTGCTCTTCAAATTCTTAGCCAATTTTGAGTGAAAGGAGGGAAGATTTCAGCGTAAAGCTTTAAGTTATTCTGTTTATTATGTTTTCTTTATTTGAATCTACTGTTAAACTTTCGGCAACTTTGATTATGGATCAGGTGTTGAATATTATGTTCAAGTCTATGTTCAATCACCTCTCCTGTGTATGCCAAATAAAATAAATCATAAACCTTTCAGAATATTGGGTTCCATGCTAGTTGACTCAATACCTGTTAAAGACTCCCAGGTACTGCAAAATTGTTAGAAGGCGTTACCAACTATCAGGGTAAGAATTGCAAGTCTCTAAGCTGTACATTAACATCATTTGTGAGAAAAGGAAAAGCAAAGTAATAATAATAACAATAAGCTTTTTTGTTTGTTTGTTTGTTTCTAAAGATTGCTCTCATCTTATTTCCTACCATTGTTTTCCTAAAAGAAAAAAAATCAAAGACATTTAACACACATATACTCATCCATCATTAACATTTCTTTAATCTTATATGGTGGTGTTATTTGTGTTTATTTCTGTTGTGTTTTTTCTTTGTTTCCTTCTTTGACAAAGCATGTCATTTTTTGTTTTACCTTGTTGTATTTTGCTAATGCATGTCACATGTTTTAAATGACTCAGTGAACAAATGAATTCTTGTCATTTTAAATTTCACTCTAAATATTACAAACAATCTGCTCATTCTCAAACATTGCTCCACGCTTTTGCTTTGGGTGAGAGCATGCAAAAGAAGTGAACCAAAAAATGGCAAGAACTATGTGGTTTGGCCAACTTTGTACCTGATAATCTGTTGAAGCCTGTTAAAGTTAAACCTAAATAAGATGTATGTATTTATAATTTGAATCATTTGTGTTTCTCTTTTGTTTGCATGATATGATTTTGTTTTATATTTTGTTTTTTTCCACTCACCAGATGTTCCCAACACTTTGCTTCCCACTACTATCATCCCCTCCCTTACCACTGCAACAGTCACAACCACTGTAGCCATAACAACCAGCCCAACCACATCTGCAACAACCAGCAGCATAAGAGGTACAGTATGCTTCTTTGTTATGGCCTGGAAAGCACAGTAAATGAAGCTTTAAGGGGTTTTTCTTTAAAAGAGTAGAAAAATTGAGATCCAATTTTACTTAATTATAAGGAGTAATTAAGTCACCTAAATTACTATCAATTAGGGTTATTGGAATAGAATATGAGACAAGATGTTACATTTTAATTTTTTAATGCCACTTATGACTACTATGAAAATATTCCAGAATATAGGCTAAAAATATATGGAGCAAACACTGAGCAAAACTAAGTGTGAACATGGGGACACTTTTTTTTTTTGCCTTGCCTTGTAAATGTAAACAAAGAAATAAGATGTTCAAGTTTGCAGAGGAAGCTTTTGCTTTTAAAAGACGTTAGTTTAATGTAAAGGACTTAATCCTCTGCCATTAGATTAAAAATACCCACAGTGTTGAATGTGTTCAAAAATTGGCATAATGCATGGGGTCATTATAAACTATTCACCACATAGAACTTTTAAGTAAATATTCAACATGTCATCCTAAAGTATTCTCTGAGTAGATCTATCTACTAACAGAGTGTTCTGAAAATGAATATTGGTAAAGTTGTCCAGGATGATAGGAATTCACATGTGGCTCCATGAGTAATTTCTGGTATTGGTTTATTAATAAATATTTTTGCCTGAAGAAGAGCAACCTTGAAAAAATTGCCTTTAAAGGCAAAAAAATTGTTACATGATCGTTCAGAAATATAAAAAAGCATTCCTGAGCAGTCATTAAGTGGTCAGTAGGTGATGAAGAAATTAAAAAGAATTGTCTTGAGTGCATAAAAACATGTTTTAGACTTAATTTTTGCATAAGCAATGTTCATAGAGAATTTGTCCTATTTTAAGTGTGTCTTTTTGTACTTCTATATGTTGTATGTCATATTGGCTTTACTAATATGTATTAAACTTAACATTTTAACTTGAAATCATAGGGACTTTAATATATATGTAATCAAAGTTGTACTAAGGACTGGCTTAACATTATTTTCCTTCAATTAGACTGTTTTTCTTGAGATTTTTATTAACTTTCAATATTAAATTGAGTTTCTAGCTTTGATGTAACAGTTATAAAAGTATTTTTCTCTTGTTTCTAAAAAATTCTGATATTTGATAATTATTAATTTTGATAATCATGTCAACTCTATTAGATAATATATAAGATTGATAACTGAAGTTTAATGATAGTAGCAATAGGAATTTCTCAAAAATTCCTGTTTATTTTAGTATTGCTAGACAAACGGTATATTAAATCTACAAAGGAGAAGAATTTAAAGATTTTTCTCACATCAATTTGTGAGAAAATTGGGTAAAAGTAATACAAATGAAAACAGGTAAAACATACTTTGTGACATTATATGAAAGAAACCTAAATTTTTACTTTGCTTTAATTTATTATTTTTCCAAAGATTTTTACAAATAACAATTTAAATAAAATGTAATTATTGCATGCTAATGAAATCTCTATGATAATATTAAGTTCTGACTATATAGACGAATTGCTTTAATGGAAAAGGACAATGACATGATGATTTAATTTTTTAAAAAATCTTCTTATAACAAAAAAAAAAATTTTCTTCTGAGGAACCTGGGTGGCTCAGCTGGTTAGGCATCCAACTCTTGATTTCAGCTCAGATCATGATCTCATGGTTCATGCGTTCAAGCCTTGTGCTTCAACAGAAGCACAGAGACTGCTTGGGATTCGGATTCTCTCTCTCTCTCTCTCTCTCTCTCTCTCTTTCTGCCCCTCCCCTGCTTGTGCTATCTCTCTTTCTCTCAAAATAAATAAACACAAAAAAATTTCTAATGGTCAACTATTCCTTCCTTCTTTAAAAAAATTTTTTGAGGGCTTGCTATTGATATACGGGGCTATGCAAGGTTATGCAATTATAGAAATTAAGCATATTGTATCTAAAATCACTAGCAATTAAATTACTGCATTCTGCACCATCCCTAAGTAACTAGTATCTGTGCTTAATCTTAATTAAGGAAAAGTATTCATGCTCTTTGTGAATATATATATATATATATATATATATATAATTACACACACACATCTCAGAGTAAAAAAGAGAAAAATGTTTTATTTCAGATGAAGTGTTTAATTACATTTTTTATACTTGTTCAGATGCATCTTAAGTGGTCTTACCTATTAGATCTTAACCAATTGTTAAAATGAAATCAATTTTCTACTTTTTCAAGTAAATTCACTTTTTAGAAGTTTTCTAAAATGTTCTATGAACTTTAAAAGTGATAAAGAAGTAATCTTTGCTGCAGAAGAACATGCAAATAAACTAACCTCAAAGAAGATACACATGTGCAAATACACACACACACACAGAGACACCCCATTCCCTGTTATTTTTACCTAACAGTTGAAAGACAATGTTTTTCAAATGGCACCAAGATATGTGGAAAGAAAAATGTATTTTATAAGTTAGGCAATTCATAGTAGTTATTTTGTATAGGAAAAAAGTAGCAGCACTGACATTAAATATTAATCTTATGCCTACTTTTCTCTCCTATGTTCAACAAACCCCTGGAGATGGGGAAAGTCACTTGGTGCACCTGTATCATTAATGTTCTAGTCCATATTTGAGGAAGCAGAAGGGTCCATCAGCACATAAACATTGTTACAATTTTTTTTATTTTATGTTTTTATCTGTTTAATTTACATTTCTGAAGTTCATCAGAGCTAGGACCTTAATTGTCTCACTTTAAAAAAAAATAATTTATTTGAGTAGAGTTGGCATACAGTGTTATATTTGTTTCAGGTGTACAGCAGAGAGATTTAACAAATTTACACATTATGCTGTGTTCACCACAAGTGTAGCTGCCATCTGTCATCACACAGTGCTATTATATCATTGACAATATTCCTTATCCTGTGTCTTCTATTACCGTGACTTATTCATTCCATACCTGGAAGCCTGTATCTCCCACGCCCCCTTACCCATTTTGCCCACCCCCTAATACCTCCCTCTCTGGCAATCATCAGTTTGTTCTTTGTATAAATTAGGTCTAATTTCACTTTTTGTCTGTCTTATTCTTTGTTTTTTTAGATCCCACATATGAGTGAAATCATATTGTACTTATGTTTCTCAGTCTGACTTGTTTCACTCAGTATAAAACTCTAAGACTATGTTGTCGCAAATGGCACAATCTTGTCCTTTTTTTATGATTAATACTCACGTGTGTATATATGTTTGTGTGTATACTTGTGTACACCACATCTTCCTTATGGACATCTTCCTTCATGATGCTTCCTTAAGCGTCCATTCATCTATCAATGGTCATTTTAAGTTGCTTCAATTTCCTGGCTATTATAAATGATGCTACAATGAACATAGGGGTGCATATTTCTTTTTGAATTAGTGTTTTTATTTTATTTGGGCAAATATCCAGTAGTGGAATTATTGGTTCATATGGTTTTTCCATTTTTAAATTTTAGGAAGCTCTTTACTTGTTTTAGCATTGTTGTGAATTTTGTACGTATTTTTTTAAGTTATATGATATTCCTTTATTTGCTTATTATCTATTGGAGCTTTCAGATGCAATTATATTTTAAATGTAATTCATTTATTCATAAATTAATAAAAATGTTTCAAAATTATAGTTTAAAAAGGATCATAATAATATATTGCCTAAGAAAATCTGAGAACTGAAGAGAACTCAATATTTTCACTTTACAGTTTTTTTTTAAGTTTACTTGTTTCATCCCTTTCATTCAGTAATCTAAACCGTATTTGATTTTATGAGGTTATTTCTTTGAATGTCATAAACTATAATATTTACCTATCTATAAATTTAATAAATGACTGCAAATAAATCACCATTCATTTCTTTATCTACCTTCTTTCACCACTACTAAATTTTCCATCCTGAGATATGATAAATGTAACTATAGGGAACAAACTGAGGGAGGTGGTCAGGGAATGGACTAGACTGGTGATGGGTATTAAGGAGGGCACTTGTGACAGACACTGGGTATCACATGTGAAGAATCCCTAAATTGTCTTATGTTGACTGACTAGAATGTAAATAAAAATTGAAAAAGAAATACATTTAAAGAGTTACACCTGTGCCTATATTGGAAATCAAGGTGAAATAGAACAAAAGAAACTCCTCAAATTCTTCAAATCATCAGTCATAATTTTGAGAATTTTCACATCTCTTCAATTCGTGCATGAAATGCATCCCCTTTAGGAGGAATAGGAACTTCAACCATATGGAATGAAAGCTGGTCATTAGTACATTTGTTACAAATAAAGGTGTTAAGACATAGAGAAGCCAGTGAACTTCAGCTGTCATGGGAAAGATAGAAAATAAGTGTGCCCTAGAGTCATCTTTGATGTGAGTTTTGGTTCTTTTGTTTACAAGGTCTTTGGTCTTGTACCATGAACCAAATTAGGCTTCAGCATTTTTATCTGAAAAATGAGAAACACTTAATAGAAGCATTTAATTCCCAGATTGTTTTACAGATTGGATAATATCTAGAGTTCTGGAAACACAATCAACAATCAATGTATGATAGGATTATTGTTCAGTTATTTTTAGTAAACCATGTGTTTATCTATAGTTGTATAATGCAATTACTGAAATTTTATATGTATATATGTGTGTATATATATATAAAATTATATGTACATAAATGTAACTGTTTTTGGTGTTAGTGTACTGATTACTTTTAAGCCTAATTTTTATTGGTTATATGAAAAAATAAAATGTTACTACAGTATATAGAATTTATTTACAAGTATAACAATAGTTTGTAAACTTTCCATGAAGTTTATAGTATTCTTGATTTGTGCATATATTTAAAATCTGAACGTTTTATAGATCTCTTATAATTTTTTCATTACAAGAGATTTTTGCTATAAGACATTTTAATTTCTGTTTTTGGAAATGGCAGGGGTTTTTAAAAGTCTAGTGGCCAGTTTAACCCTATCAATCAATTCAGATGGCATAATATACTCTCTTA